TTTGCTCTTCACTGCGAAGGCCCACTCTGTCAGCTGAGCGGCCACTGGCAATGGGGAGATGGAGAGAGAAGAAACACCGTAAAGGAGGGGGCGACCATCACCACCACCACCACCTGCGTGGTGGCTGCAGTCCTTGGCAATTTACGGGACCTCATTTCCCACCGGCCCACCGAGAAGCACACACACACACAAACATATGATCAATCGCTCCCTCTCTCTCTCTCACTCTCACTATCTCATATATATATATATGCACAATTGATGCAGCAGAACAATTTCGACAAGTCTTGCGTTGGGTTCTCACACTTCCTCCTCCTTTTCCTCTTCCTCGGATGTGGTGTCGTCAAAGCTGGTGAAGTTCTTCGGCGCGGAGGCCGGCGGAACCGCCGTTACCCTTTTCTTCTTGGAGTCGCTGAAGGAGGAGGCGGAGGAGGAGGTGACAAAACTTTTGCGCAGCGTGGTGTAAGTTTTCTCACCACGCGAGGGCTGCAGGGAACGGGTGATAGGCACAACCTCCGCCGCCGTCCCGCCCTGCCGTTCTCCCTTGACCGACAGCACCTTTTCGCTTTCGGTGCCGTCATCCCAGTCGTCGTACCATGCGGCCTTCGGCTTCGCGGGGAAAGCTTCCTCATCCGCGGTTTCTGTTGTGTCCTTCGCGGAGGTGACGGAGGGCGCACTCTCGCGCGTCTCGCCTGACGTGGTGAATGGAACAACGGCACTACTCCCCGCCTCACCGACGCTCTCGTCGCGGGACGCGCGCAGCCACAACGGACCTCTACGGACGTGGCGCGCCTGCTCCTCTTGTGAGCCGACGCTGCTAGACGACTCGCGGGGCGGCTGCATCGAGGCCACCTTCACCTCCGCACCTTTAAGCAGACCACCCGCATCCGCGCGTTGGTCGCTGCCGCCTGCAGTGTGCACGGTGCCGACGACACGCGTTGTGATGGGCGGGGCGACAACGGAGGCAAAAAGAGCAGGTTCCGGAGCCACCACACGCGAAAGCCCCAACGGGTCAGTAGCAGCAGCGGAGTTTCCACTTGCTGCTTCGGCCCACGCCATCACCTGCTGCCGGTTAGTCGTATCGCCAACAGAAGTTTTCAATCGGCACGACTGTGTCGTCGCTGTCGTTGCTGTCGTCGTGGTCGCCGCAGTGGCATCACTCGTGCTGAGTCTCCGCGAGTCGTCATCCTGCCGCTCCAGCGATGGTGGAGGCAGCTGCACCTCAGGGGAGTCATTGTGATTGTCTGGGTCCACCACTTCAGTGCTGGAGGTTTTTGGGTGCGTGCGGGGTGTCGTCGCGGTTGTTCCGCTGCCAGACGTCAGCGCCATCTTGCCACGTTGATCAGAGGAGCGCACCCCGCCAAACTCGACCAGCGGTGTCTGCACGTCCCCTCGTGGGCACACGCCTTCCTCCCCGCTCGCAGCCGTCGTGGGCGCGTCACCCTTCACCGCATGCAGGGATAGCGCGGCAGCAAGGGAGCGGTGGGCCGCCTTCGTTTCCTCCCGGCAGTCACTCAGCGACACCTGAAGCTCCTGCAAGGCCTGCCGCTGCCGCCGCTGCTCCCTTTCCAGCAGGCGCAACTTCTCCTGACCGCCCTCGCACGCCTGCTGCTGCAACGTGGCATCATCGCGTGTGTCGTGGAGCTGCGACTCGAGCGATGCCAGTGTCTTGCGCAGGGCGTTCCAGTCACGCAGCAACACGTACTCCTTGTGCTCCTGCTCAGCGGTGTCACGCATCGCGGCGAGGGCAGCCTCGAGAGACTCAACCTTCGACCTGCACGCCTGCACTTCCCTCGAGAGCGCTTGCGTGGCATCTTCGCCACCGCGCGAAGCGCGCAGCTTCACCACCTCCTCCTCCAGCGGCGCAACCTTTGAGTCCAGCAACACCTCTAACGCAGACGTACGCTCCTGCAAGGTGGACTGCAGATGACGCATATCCCGCTGCACCTTCGTCTCCAGTTGGCTGACCATTTGCTCCGTGGCCGTGGTAAGCTGCTCCTCCGCCGCCACCATAGCGTCATCCACGCGGGTGTCACGCCGCTCTTGCCACTCACGTGTTTGCTGCAGGCGGCTTAACAGCGTGGCAACGTCCTTCGCGTGATCCTCAGCAGCGGCACGAAATGCCGTGGCGTCGGCGGTGAAGCGTCCAGCCTGTGACTCAAGTTCGCATACACGACGGTCCATGCGATCCACCTCCGCGCGCGCAGTCGCGCTACTTGTTTCGCTATGCAGCGCCATGTCATTTGCGTGCTCCAGCCGCACAGTGACAGACTGCAAGCCTGCGAGGGTGTCACGCCGCGACTGCTCGAGGCGCTCGCCGACGCCCTTCACTGTCGCCTCCAGGGTCTGCACGCGGTGGCCAACCTGCGCCACCACATCGTCAATCCGGGTGGCGGACGCGACGAGGCCCTCGCGCGTCTCCTCTAGTACTGCAACGCGCTGCTGCAGCTGCGGCACGCGCCCCTCCACCATCTCCACCGCGCCACGAAGGCGGTGCACCAGCTGCTCGCACCCCTCTATTCGATCCGTGTACCCCTCTACCACACGGCGGGTGTGCTCCGCCAGCTGTTCGTCTCGCTCGCATACCTGCCGCAGCGCATCAACGCCACTCTCAGCGCGTAGTGCGGCGCGTCGGACACCTTCAATTTCGGCACGTAGTTTCTCCGCCGTCGCGGCAGCGCCAAGGTGACTTTCAACCTGCGTTAGCCGCGCATCACGATCCTGCACGGTGTCCTCCATGCGCTGCGCCCGCTCCATCGCCCTCTGCGCCTGCGCCTGCGCCCGCTCTGCCATGTCACGTGCAACGCCAACGTTGGCGTCCACACGACTCACAGCCTCTTGCGCGGCGTCCGCCTTGCGCTCTGCGCGGTCCATGCGAGAAGCAGTGACGGCGCTGCTGGACTCCAACGCCCCCAGGCGCTCCTTAAGAGAGACCGTCTGCAGCCGCACCTCGGCGTGACATGCAGTGGTGCAGTCATGAACCTTGACATCCACGCCGGCGACAAGCTCTTCATGGCGCGCAATTTTTTGCGCAAAAGTCTCCAGAGGCTCACGCAAAGTGCGCTCAAGCGCCGTTGCGTGTGTTCGCCACGCCGCATCCACTAACTCCTTCACTTGGCCGCCTGTCGCGGCGAACTCTGCCCTCAGCTGCTGCTTTAATGCCTCGCGCTCCCGTTGGTCGTCGCGGCGCATGTCCACGTATCGCAGCAGCTCCACGTCCAGCCGCTGGGCGAGAGAAGCGCGCTCCTTCTCAAGCTGTTGTGCCGACTCCACACGCAACAAACCGCACTCCGCTACTGCCATTTCCAACCGTTCGCGAAGGCTGTCCAGTTGCTCTTGTATGCACTCCTGCTGCTCGAACTGCGAGCGGCCCCGCACCTTGGCGCAGCGAAGGGCCTCGTCCAGCTGCCGCTGCATCACAGCCCGCGCCGTCACCTCCTCCTTGTGCTGCTGCTGCATGTTCACCTCCAGCTCCGCGATTGCGCGATGCGACTGGTGCTCCGCGGCGCGCAGCTCCACCAGCATCTCCTCTTTCCATCGCCTCCCCAATAAGGCGATTGTCTGCGAACGGGACTCCCGTTCCGCCAACAGCTCGCTGCGAAGGTTGCCAATCTCCGTCATTGCCACGCGAAGCTGGCGCTGCAGTTCCAGGACGGGCGGATGGCCGTGCACCCCACCCTCGCAATCTTCGCCCCTGCCCCACAACTCTTGCGGCGACGGTGCAGCCGGCCGTCTACCGGAAAGCGCGTCTTCTGCGGCTCGCAACAGTTTTGTCGCCTCACGTGAAAAGTTAGACATACTATCTACCGGCAATTGTGATGTGTGTGTATATATCTCTTTATATACGTATATGCGTGTATATACAAAAGCTAATGAATGAAGTAACGTGTACGAATGTGTGTGGCCTGTGGAAATCCACCACCGGCTGTCGCACCCCCTCTCGCTCTACCTGACCCACGGAACGAAGAAGCGAAGCAGTCAAAGAGGCCAGATAAACAACGACGACAGCAGAAACATACAAACAAACAAGCGTGCGCCCAGCACAAAAATAAGCGGGACACCTCGGCTCCAACAGCTGCAGGCTCACGCTGCCAGAAGGATGGGGGCTGCCGCTGAGAGGAAGGGGAGACGGGAAAGAGCACCGGTTGAGGCACTCACACCAAAAGAGAGAGAAAAAAGCCGCCCGCACATTCGCACAGACAGCCAGACAGGGCGAGAGAGGACGTGCTGCAGCACCACAACAACAAGTAAACAAAAAAAAAAAACGACAGACAAACTAACATCCAAAAATAATAAAAAAAGTAAAAAAAATATGAGCCGTTCCAGCCACCCTGCGGCAACGGTGTTCGATAACAGCCAAAAATAATGATGATGAACATCATACGGGTGGTGACAGACTACAACGAGCAGCCGTTCCGGTGACGGCTTGCCTCCTCACTTGTAGAGGCAGCACGCAGACGTTCTGCCACCGTCCGAAGCGCCACTGAAACCTTTACTAGGCGACTCAGGCGGAGCTGACTTTCTTGCTCCCGTGCCTGCAGCGCCCACTCCGTCCGCGCAACTGCCGCCTCACGTCGCTTTAAATCCTCCGGGAAGGCCTTTATGCTCGCTGTCGTCTCTTCGAGGGCCACCATGCTGCGTCGTGTGAGGTCGCCTCGCCTCGCCAACTCCTGCATTTCCTGCACCCCCACGTCGTACAGCCTGAGAAGCGCATCGCTCAGGATACCAATGCAGCCGTCCACGTACAGGCTACCGTGATGCATCATGTCAGTGACGAACCGAAAGGCGGAGGTGCTGCTGTTGTCCTGAGCGGCAGGTAGCCTTTCTTTTTGTTCTCGTTGGCGCTGCTGCTGAAGTTGTTGCGAGACATGTCTCTCGACCCTGCTTGCCACCACGAGTGCTTTTTCCGTCCGCGACAATTTCGCACGCAGTTGCTGCAATTCCTCCGTCTTGAGCGCCAGCATGCGTTTGAGGAAGACGACCTCCACGGCGTCCTCGTTTGGCTGCTCCTCAAAACCCTTCGAGAGACGCTGGGGGCTACTCAACTCACGGCAGAATTTGGCAGGTTCCTCCGCATGCTCGCTGGTGTCGCTCGCAGCAGATGCCGTCGCCGCCGTCCTTGGCTGCGTTGGCGGCGACGGTGACGGGAACTCCGCGGGGCTGCAAGCCGCAGCCGCGACCAGTGTGATGGCCGAAAGGGAGGCACCGTGCTGACTGAGCAAAGACTTTGCCACCCACCGCCACTCAGACAATATGGCGCGTATTGCAGCAGCGGTGTGATCCGTCAACTCACCCTGCCGCGTCGCCACCGACGATGGGGACGACTGCAGCTGCCGCCACAACCCGTGAAATGCGTCCACGATTGCCAGCCTCTCACACCATTCCGCGCAATCCACCTCGTGCCGCTGCTGCTGCCCCCACAGTGTTAACGTAAGCTCGTCCACGGTGCGCTGTGTCGCCTCACGTTGCCTCTTCTCCGCCGCAACTTCACGCCGCGCGACACCCAACGCGCTTTCAAGCACTAATGCGCCATTGTCAAACTGTTTCTTTGCCTTGAGCATGTCTTCCATGTGCAACGCACGGGCCTTCGTCAGGGCTTCCTCCACCTGCGCCTTTTCTGAACACAACGCCGCCGGCAACGCCACGTTGCCGTGACTGTGCTCGTGTTGCAACTTCACGGTTTTTAACACATCATCGGCGGCGCGCCGCCACGCCTCAAACTGTTCGCCCAAATCTGTCAACCCCCCCATGTAAACACGCTGCAACCGCAGGAGCTCGTCCTCGACAATGACCTGAAACTTCTGCGTAAATTCGGCCCGGAGCCCTCTCTCTTCTTTCCGCAGCTGCGTCCGCAGTGCTGCAAGCTGCGCTGCGTCGCTTGTGACTTTCTTCGTCGCTTCCCGCAGGGCCACCTCTCGTCTGGACCACACATTTTGCCTTGCCCGCATCTCCTCCGCTAGCGCCGCTTCCTCCGCCGTTAAAGTCCGCCCACCATTCGTGTTGGCAGCGGTGAGACGATCCTCATTGCTGTTGTCATCGACCGTGCCGATGTTTCTCCCGCTGGGCGACCTCACGTCTGCCTGCAGAGGTGACTTTGTTAGCTGCTCCTGCGTCGGCGAGGCAGATAAGGGTGCTTCCTCTACGCTGCTATTCAGCTTCAGCCGGCCAACCTCTGCACCAAGTGCCTCCGTCAGCTCCACCAACCGTTGGTTCTCCTCGCGTAACGAGGAAGAAACAGTCAAAAGCCTCTCCAACTCCACTTGCTGCTCATTCAGCCTCTGCAGCATTTCTCCCCGCTGCTGATAGGCGATCTCCGCCTCTGCCTGAACCTTGGAGACGCAGATGGCGCAGGCGTGGCAAAGCGGCACTGGTGCGGAGCCGGGTTTTCCTGGCAAAGTCAGGTTCCGCTCGAGGCAGTGCGAGCACATCACACTGCCACACGCATGGCAGTTTGCAGGCTTACTGAGCAGACCGAAACTACGCCCGCATCCTGGGCGCTGGCAGACGCCTACCTCACTCTTGTTGCACCACTCAATCTCCGGAACAACTCGAAGCAAATTCTCCATCGCACCCCACCGCGCAGCTACGCGTCTCTCCCTCTCTCTCTCTCTCTGTGTGTGTGTGTGTGTGTGTGTGTGTGG